GACGTTGCTTATCGCCTATAGTGTAAGTTTTTTGGTCGTGTGCGGTGCGGTTTGGGTCGCGTGTGCGGCGGGGACTTCAGCCCTTGGGATAACTGGGTATTCGGTATGTGTGTAAAATCACTTCTTCTTGTGAAGTTCGACGCCTCCAGCGTCGTTATTGCTAGCAGGGAAGCATTCCGTCTATGAACAGTTGTAAAAGGGGGAAGAGGAGAAAGATCTCTGAGCGCGTCGCATTGAAAAGAGATGGAGAGAGACCGAATCAATAACAGATAAAACTCTTATCTCTAGCAGCAAAAAAAGATCGCCTGAGTGCAAGTTTTGACCTGAGATGGGGCGGGCCGACGGGACGTCATAATCCTTGGAACCAATTGAAATTGGTGCCCGATCATCAAATGGGGGGCCATCGAGATGTTCGCGTACTCCGTAAGGCAAGGTACCCGTAACGTTGTAATGTAGTAGCGGCATCCGCGACTGTCTTGTTGCCGTCCCATTTCCGATGTATCATATCAGCGCGGTCTATTCCTTGTCCTGGCAGTCCTGCTAGTAATGGCTTCGGCGGTTGACGCAGTTTTGGTGACTTTACATTACATGGCTCCAGACTTGGGGTGTAGAACGCTTGTGGTCAAAGACCGTTTTGAGGCTCTTTTAGGCTCGAGAGTCAATGTTGCTGAAAATTCTGACATGCCAAGCCCAGAAGACGGGGCCTATACCGCTTTGTTCACATCCCGCCGGTTTGTGGTGTAAAGAGGTTCGGCCTCTTCTCGGTTTGTGTGGCACTAAGCACATAGGTAGCTAACATCAGAGTAAGGTAACTTGTAAGCTTTCAAACAGCAGACAGCAGAGCACCAGACTCAACGTCAAGCAAAACGACTGTTTGTGGGTGAAACTAGACTGCTTTGCTCATCCAAACCTAACATTGCCAATTCGGTTCATTGGCAAGACGGCAAGCGCAAAAGTCATGCTTAGCTCAGCCAGCTACTTTCTAGTGCATATATTAGGTCTAGCCTGTGACGCTGTCAATAGTTGGTAGTTGAATGACGGGAGACGGCACATAGCAAACGTTCCATCAGCCAGAAGTGCCAGAATGCCGTGATAAGGTGACGGTAGAAGTGTGGTGGTGCTAGAAGGTGGCTGTGGTGGCGTAAGCTGCAGCCACACTTGGGCATACCATAAGGTACACAGTAAGGTAGGTGGTGATCTGCAATGGCTTTCGTCTTCTTGAGCGAATGGAAGTGACACGACAAGGCAACGAGATACCTAAGTCGAGGTAATATGATTTACGCGGAGACACATTGCATTGCATCTTCTCGGCTGTGCAGGTCCAAGCCTCGTAAGGCGTTGATTTGCAAGCCGGGATGCCAATCGAGCTTCCTCAGTCACTGGCTAGTTGCGCCAGCGATCGGCCACCGGAGCCGGGGCTTCTCCAGATCCCAACGGGGCCAAGTGATCTTGGGAGGCCAGCCGATGTAACAATGGTTCGCGGCCTCGGCCACGTCTGTTGTCTGTCTGGGCTTTTGGAGGTTGCATGGAGTGACGTTGGCATCCGTCTTGGGGAGGGCTATCGAAAGCAAACCGCGGGGCAATCGCAAAGAAGCGGCGGACGGGCGGGAACTCGGACGTTCCACCCCCTTGCCAAGATCCGCCCGGGGGAGCTCTTTCTCCGGGAAATTTTGGAGGAGCTCAGACAGAATGGAGCAATCACGAGCTGTAATTGGGTTAATCAGAGCTTGCCCCCACCTCGGCCCGTGACCCCCATTCGTCACGTGGGAGTTGACGTAAGTCACAGCCCCCAATTCCTGAGGTGAGTGTCCTCTTTCTGTCACTACACTAAGGTACCTTATGTCACTCTCGGGCACTTGGGGAAAGTGTTGACTGAGGTGCAGTTGCCTGCAGAGAAACAGTCTGGAAAGAACAGGGTGACGCAGACCCAGTGAGGCAGGAGTGGCAGGTCGGCGCCGCATTGAACTGTGTTGGTGGGTACGTACCTCTTAAAGTGGCCGAGGTGCCCCATGCCCCATGCCCCAACGGCCACCCGCGTCAACCTTGGAATGCCGTAAGTGCACTTTACTGTGTACGGAGTACCTTACGCAGTATTTTGGAGTGGAGGAAGTGGCACTGGCACTCGCACTCGTGGACTCGTAGGACCATCTAGAGCTCCTTGCTCATCGCTTCAAAACGCGGCCCCGTCGCCTCTCACCCCATAAACCAACCCATTCGTCTCCGGAGCTGCTTACTTCGTACCAAGTCCCGAATTCGCATCCCAAATACGCGGACACTACCCGAAATTCGAGAAATGGCGACCCCTGATCTGCGACCCTGAATACCACTTCCTTATCCCACTTCGAGGCGTTCTTTAAAATAAACTTCCCGCTGCCCCGTCTGATCCGGATGCGATCCCGTTGAACACAGTCGCCGCTTGCATCCCGCAGCTACATCCTATCCGCATCGCGCGGCGATTGCTCCTGCGAAGACCACCGCTCACCACCGAATGCGCACCACTGAACCCACAGATTGATATCTCATCTGGCAATCAGCAAGATCGACACATACTCCTTCCATCTCTACGAACCCCCCGAGATCATGGCATCTACAGCTGCCTCCCCCAACGGCGGGGCTCACGACCACGTCCTGCGGCCGAGGCCGAGGAAGCCACAACATTCCCAGTTGACGAGAACACAGAGCAACACTTCTGTTGGCGAGATGAATGGCTTGACACCTCTATCAGAGACTGGCCAGACGAGCGGCACTACTAGGTAGATACACCTCTTCCCCACACAAGCTCATCACTTTCGTCACGCACCAGCGCTAACGTCAATGTCGCTACAGTGGCCGCTCAACACCAGTCCCTCACGATGCCCTCCCCTCCGTCAAGAGCATGTCCTCGGCGAAAAAGCAAGCCCGTGCTGAACAACGACGCCGTATCTTCCCCACAATCGAGTTCGCGAGCCGCGTTTCCCACTTCGATCCCAACTCCGACTACCGCGACTTCCATGGCTTCTTCAACCTCTTTTGGATCGGCCTCGCCATCATGGCCATCACCACCATGCTGCGCAACATCAAGGATACCGGATACCCCATGAGAGTCCAGATCTGGACCCTCTTTACCATCAAAATTTGGCATTTGGCCATTGCAGACTTCCTCATGGTGGCGAGCACCCTGGTGTCACTACCCCTCCATCGCCTGTGGCGCTCTGCCCCCGCCAACGGAGCTCTGACATGGAAGAATGGGGGCATGGCTGTTCAGAGCATCTATCAAGTCGTATGGCTTGCCTTCTGGATTGCCATTCCCTTCGTGCTCGACTGGACATGGACCGCGCAGGTCTTCCTGCTGCTACACACCATGGTTCTGCTGATGAAGACGCATAGCTGGGCCTTTTACAATGGTCACCTCAGTGAGACGGAGAAACGGCTCTACGCTCTCGACAACCCCTCGACCGCGTCGAAAGACCCAGTCTACCTATACCCAACACCCGACAACCCGATGGGTACCGTCAGCAGCCCCAAGACACGCGATTTTAAGGCCAAGTCAGAGGCCACAGGCACATCAGACACGGATTCGACCTCGGACGAGATCGAGCAGCTCCGCGAGGATCTGGCCCAGGAGCTCACCTCACCTATGGGAAATCTTGCATATCCTCGCAATTTGACATGGTCCAACTATTTCGACTACCTCCTGTGCCCCACTCTATGCTACGAGCTCGAGTATCCTCGAACAGCCCGCATCGACTGGCAGAACCTCATCTCCAAGATCATCGCTGTCTTTGGCTGCATTTCCCTCCTCACAGTTATCTCTGAGGAATTTATCCTGCCCATTCTCAGCGACGCCTCCGTCCGCTTGAGCACAGTTCCGAAGCCGCCCGTCTCCGAGGCCCTCCTCATCCTAGCAGAGAGCGTCTCCTGGCTCCTCTTCCCTTTCATGCTGACCTTCCTTCTTGTCTTCCTTGTCATCTTCGAGTACGCCCTCGGCGCCTTTGCCGAAATCACGCACTTTGCGGATCGCCACTTCTACTCCGACTGGTGGAACTCAACCGATTGGATGGAGTTCTCTCGCGAGTGGAACATTCCCGTGTACAGCTTCCTGCGCCGTCACGTGTACAGCGCCAGTCGTCCGTACGTCGGTCGCCTTCCGGCCACCGTCATCACTTTCTTGATCTCCGCCATTGGTCACGAGATTGTTATGGCATGTATCACCAAGAAACTTCGCGGCTACGGCTTCATCTGCCAAATGCTGCAGCTGCCCATCGTCGTGCTGCAACGCACAAAGTGGGTGCGCGGCAAGGAGACGCTAAATAACGTGTGCTTTTGGTGTTCTATGGTCATGGGCTTGAGCATGGTAAGTCATCCGACTTCCTTTCGATATGGGGTGATAGCTAATCATCGGCAGATTTGTGCTCTCTACGTCTTGGTCTAAGACTTTGACAAAGCAATTCGCACCACATTTTTCATTTGCGTCACGTGTGGCCACCTCATCTCCCAAACATCGCATTGCCGAAAAGATGGTTTAGATGAGCTTGACTGAAACTCACTGTATTATTATCGAGGCAACTCTGTATCATTATTCTGGATCATACACGGAGACGGCGTCCTCCAACACAGACACACAATCATTTCCCTGGCGTTTTACTAGATAGGTCTTATACCCCCTTATTTACATGCCCAACGGGCAAAGATTACACCATACCTCGTGTTGCAAATGTGCCAGCAAAGTATCAACTCATTGGAATCAACAAGATGGCAAAGCCGGTGTGGTTTATGGTCTTGAAGCTATCGATCTGTTTGTTCTGCTCGTAGGAGCCTGCCCTCCCTTCTTCCGCGGTAGAAACCCACCATCCATCCATCAAATCTCAACCAGAGGCCTTCCAAACAGCGTTTCAATCTAATCCCACATCATAACATTTCACGTTCCGAAGACCGTCCTCCCAAAAGTCCCATCCATCCTCTCTACCAAACACACGACCGAATCAATAATCCCATCTCTCTCGCTGAAAAGCCAATACGTCTCATTCAGGAGGATGTCTCAACAACGCATCCTCCCTAGCAATCTCATCCTTGTTACCCAGAAACTCAAAGTTCTCGTCGTTCAAGACGCCAATGGTGTAGTGCCGCGTCTGCGTACTCTCCCGCCAAAACCAACCTATTCGGAAGCGGAGGCCGGAGAGCTTTTCGTGGAGTTCCTTCTTGGACATGTGCTCGGCGCCTTTGGGGAGGTGGTCCATTGCGTTTGAGTCTTTGAGGAGGGCGGTCATGGCGGCTATGCTGTTGTATCCATCTGGGGCAAGGCCCTCGATTCTCATGCTGAACAGTTGTGTTTTTGAGACGGCAGTGCCGAGAAAATCAGTGATTAAGATTAAGAGACTCAGGAATGCCGTCAAAGTCAGAATCCCTATGATTATGTAGGTCACTATCGGATCCTGGACGAGGCGGTGGCGACTGAGGTTGATAACGTCGGCACTCAGATTGAAAGGGGTCGGCGGAGGGCTGTCTTTCGAACTCTGGCTGATGTCAATGCGGTTCTCGAGGTTTACCAATTGAGCCGCAAGGAACCCGTATAGATGCTGTATGTCTTTGAGGATTTCCTCTTCGAAGCTTGGGTCCCCGAATGCATCCAAAGAAAATCGACCGAATGGGACAGACAGTGTTCTAAACCAGGAGTCGAAGTAACCTGCATAAGGGTCACTCGCTGTTACTTCGGGAATTGCATCATTGATTTGGGTGACAGCGCGGACTTTGAATTGATTATCGATGTCTGGTATGTTGAAAGGTATGCTCCAGAACTGAGCTTGAAACTCGTCTGGACGTGGTAGATCCCCTGGATTCAAGACATACTCCCGATGGAGAAAGGTGAAATTGACTTCGGTCGGTAACTCGACCCAGGAATATTGACATCTTGTAACAGAGAAATGTAAGAACTTCTGTTTTTCTTGGGAGTATTTTCCCAGGGCGTAGGTTTGGAATCTAGTTGAAGCCGAGATGGCATCGGCATCGCGGAGCCCCAAGCTACAAGACTTGTTTGCGGTAAGTGGATTCTCAGGGGAGTATAATCTCGTTGCGAAGTACAGGTACTCGGACTTTCTTTCGCCGACGGTCACACCGATAGTTTGGGAGAGCTGTGCTCGACTCCCATTAGGGCAGGTAAAGTTTTCGGTGATGCGGGGGTGAACTTCAAAGGTACTGTCGGAGTCGTCAGATCGTTCCAGTTTTGTCAGGTTATACTCGTCAGGAGGTACTACCCAGCAGGTGGGTTTGAGCGTCGCAGCCGACATGTTGACCTTAGTTGACATATTCTGCGATGGGTCTAATTCGTCGCTGGTGCCGAACGTTGGGAAGACCAGAGTATCGTACGTGTTTTTTGGGTACGTCAGGAGCCCGTCACCCTGACGGAGGACGAGGCTGCTCAAAGATTTGCCTCTTGAAGTTGAGTGCTGTAGCGTTTCCTGTATCCCCAGACCCAAACCAGGTCTTCTGTTGTAACGAGATTGTGCTCGCCTCTGGGATTGTCTTGACGGTAAAGGCAACCGAAATCAGAGTTGTTAGTAAAGCACAAATAATGGCAAAGAACTGCGTTACAGTTACAGTTCCAATATGTGCTCGGAGTGAGTAGTAGAGTACTTGTAGACCTAGCATATCCGAGAACGATGAGTCCATTTCTGCAGACCTGCAAGATTTGGTAGAAAGAGCGGATAGTGTGGCCAGACCTCGGTATGTGAAATCGCAAGAGTTGACGTATAGCGCAATACTGAGCATAACAAGTGTCGGGACAGACGTCCACAACAGATACGCATAACCCGCCTCTGAACTCACTGTTGCGATTCCCTGATATTCCAAAGATGTCTTTAAAGAATAGCAGAGACCCGTTATAATGGCAATGATGAAAATGACTGCTCCAGCCCGGGCCCAAACCTTCAGCACAAGTGGTGTAAATTCGCAGTTGCCCCATTTGGTTGCTTTGTCATTGGGCTCAGGGCTATATTTTGATCCTTCGTCTGAGGATCTTCTTGGATGTTGGAAAAAAGTCACATTTCCAATGATTGTGAGAGGATCCCGGTACCAAATCTTAGTCATGTCTCTGTAGAAGAGAAGTATAAGAGCCATCATGAGCATGTCCAGTCCAAAGATCATTGTCATGGACAAGCAAGTCCACTTGTTAACCATGAGCTTGGTCACTCTTGTGAAAACGGCCCCGGTTGCATTGAGATGTTGGTCGTTGCTGTGCCGAAGACGATAGTGTCCGACCCATGGACCAAGAATACGAGACATATCCATGACTGATCGGTACAGCACCTCACTTGTGTATAGAGAAGCGTCCGTGGAGTCTACATACGTCCCTGAAAAGTTGCCAAAAAAGTTGTAGGCAGTCTCAACTGGACCTGACACCTGATTGATGCTCGATTCGTTCCAACTACCAGTAGGCACGGAGTTATCGATAAGATCCCAAAGGTTTGCGGCGACTGGGTATCTGTTTTCGTCCGGTAGTACTTCAACTAGCGGTATTGTACCGTTGTCGATGACCTTGACTCTAGACACCCACGAGCCAGAGGAGCAGAGGACTGCTGCAAGATCAACCAAGGCCACCGAGGAAGAATTCATGGTAGGTCTTTCGAAGCGAGCCGCATAAGACAAAGAGTGTTTGAATTCATGGGATAGTCCTATACATGATGTCGGTTTGACCAAAGCAGAATGGCTTCCCCAATGAGAAAAATTTCCACTAGTGTTGCCGTAATAACTGGTGGTATTCTGGAATCCAGGTATCGACAGTGGCTCCTCGCAGCCATTGAAATGTAGCTTCAGGTCCCGAACAGAATATAGAGAGAATCTTTCCATATTCTGTATAATTTCTGAGTAGGAATGGTTTTGTAGCTTCAGACACTGCGTTTCCGTCGAAAAACCAGCCACGGTAGCTTCGATAGGTGTACCGACTGTGCCTCGAGAGCCACTTCTTCTTTTGAATGTCTGATAGGATATCTGTTCATTGACTCCAAAGGGATAGCCCATGTCGAAGCTTTCGATGGCTTGCGCAATATAATATGGGCTACTATCTCTAGATTGCCAAGCTGGTACAGTGGTATTGAGTGAGTCGAGAATCTCGATATGGACTGGACCACCGGCTTCGATCGTTTGAATGCTGTACAGGCCGGGAGCGAGAACAATCTGAATCTTCAGTGTGATTGAAATAACGGCAACGAGGAAGACAAGATAGTGGTTTCTTCTCCAGGACTCTGCCCAAACTTTTGGCGGAAGCATTGCGGTATAGTCAAGTCCGTCATTGTCAGAATTTCTACTGGACGAACTTTCGTGACTACGGGCGATCCATGGCATGTACCTCAGCGTTTGTGTTTCTACCCTCGACCAGCCAATGGATATGAGAGTAAGCACTGGTAATCTAAATCAGCAATGGTCTTATGTTGGTGCCCTTCAGCTTCTCTGGGAGGGGCACGTAGCCTTACCGGCCGTTGGGCCAAAACGCCAAACGTAAACGAGATTCTCTCGCGTTTCCACAAGCCCATTGTTTCGCAGAGATACGGAAAACATGGCAGGAAGCACAGTGGTAGAAACAAGGAAGAAGGCGATGAACGCTAGTAACACCGCGGGCTGGAGCCATGTCGGACGCCAAGTCTTCGCATCTTCGGACCAGCCCCCGTGCTTATCGTCAGCATCCCTGACAGGCCTGAGACTCGTAGTACTCGTGGGCTCGATATGTGTGGCTGAAGATATCTCTTCGTCATCTGCAGAGCGTGATACGGACAAGCATAAGTTGCATGGTTCCCGGCTTTCGGCAGGCACTGTGAGGCAAAGCGTCTCCTCCTCAGATGGACTAGACGGAAGAATGCTAAGCATACTTCGGTTGCGCTTGTTGGGTAACTGTGATTTAGAAAAATTCTCGAAGGTCTTTTCTTGGATAATATAGCCTTGTGCGCGTGCGAGTCTAGACTCATGGGGATTCTTGAGGAGCTTGTACGATGTCGCGAGCTGGAGTGCACAACAACGTAAAGATGACAAGGACGAATCCTTGCTTCAAGAGGAGTAAAAGAGAAAGATGTTTCCTCTGTTGATGATTAAACTGAGACAGCCAAGACACACGTGATAAGGTTGACCGTGAGAGCCTTCTCTCAAGAAGAAGGCATTGTTACACCGCCAAGTTATACAGCCTGCGGCTAGCCTGAACCACATAAGCTCAGGCTTACTTATGGACGATTGCCACACAAGATCTGCACTCAATAGCGTTTGGAAGTATCTAACTGTGATTTGGTTCTCAAATACACTCTTTTTATGTGGCTTATCTCTGGGTAGGAGTAATACAGGCTTACACAAACGTTCTGGATCTAAGGTAGTTAGTGTCAGGCTGATAGTGCCGTTAACCAAGATACCTTAGATGGAGGTCAGTAGTTGGCGTGAACCATACAATACCGTATTATCTAGCCAGGCGGAGAGAAGGAATTTTCAACATCCAGGTCACTTTGTGCTGTACGATTGTAAGCAACCTATTGGAACCTCCTGACCAACGAAATTCACTTCCAAGAGAAGCATTGATAGAGGGAAGCTGCCAGCGCTGATACGTTACACTTCCATTTAGCTGAGAATTCCAGGCAAGATGCATTAGTGGATTAAGAAAATTTTCAAGCTCCGATTACTTCATAACGGTAGATCGATCTGCAACTTGATGCTTGTGGCCCATTCCAACGGAACACAGCCTCTGTCCTCATCAAGTACATTTCGGAGGAAGGATGATCCATATTCGGCGCCCCCTGTCCACTAATCGGCCACCGCTTAAACTTTACTCAAGCTCCCAATGGCCGAGTAGCATGCCAAATGGTGCGTAATGCGTCGCTCCATCCCCTTACTTACCCCCCAACTTACTCCCTAATCACTCACGCGCAACCGACCCCCCTGTTTCCTCACTCAAACACTCTCTGCACCACCAACTACCACTATCACCAGCTCACCAACCGAACAAATGTACATCACAGACTCCACTCTCGACGGCCTAGTCGCCAAAGTCCGCGAATTCCAACGCAAAGAGGGCTACGGCGTCATCAAAACCCGCTCCAAGCGCTCCGCAGGCACCAAGGAAATCTACCGCCAAGACCTGAGCTGCGATCGCGGCGGCCGCCCCAAGGCCTCCGTCGCCATGATCCGCAACACAAAATCTAACAAGACAGGCTGCATGTGGCGCGCGCACCTGACCCTCCAGGCCGACTGCTGGGTCTGCATCCCGCACAATATGGAGCACAACCACCCGCCGCTGACCGAGTCCTTTGCCGCGAGCCGGTCCTTTCGCCAGCTGAGCTGGGAGGCGGCCGAGGGCGGCGTGCAGGGGATCAGGAACCGGGTGGATGCGTTGTCAAGGGGTGACCTGCCGACGGGGAAGTTGACGGCGCGCGTGATTGCTGAGAAGATTTCAGAGGAGACGGGGGCGCTGGTGAGGGAGAGCGATGTGAGGAATATTCAGGCGAGTATACGGCGGGCAAAGGCGCGAAATGCATCTGCCGGGGCTGAAAACGAAGAAGAAGACGAGGAGGAGGGGGAAGAGGATGATGAATGAAACGTTTCCTCACATGTTGTATGTGCCATCGCCTCCCGCGTCTCGCCCCATTACACATGGCCTGAGAATAAGACGGGAGTCCTAATGAATAGTTTCACTGAGGTATGTCTGTACACCTGCCTGCTTTACGCCAGATGCCGTCAAACCATAAGCAAGGCAACAAGGCCTGGAGGGTACATAACACAGAATTACTTACAAAAGCCGAGGATGAGCGCGAGGCTTCCCTGTATATCCATTGTTTCTAGCTTTGTTTAATTTGAAATTATACACACCGAGAGCCCTGAGTGCCTCTCCTTTTCCCTTTTTCCCCCCTTTTTTTTTTTTTCCTTTTCTTCTTTTCTATTTTTTAAACCTAGCATGAATCTATTGAGCTATGTGGAATATTCAAGTATAACACGTACAATGGTGGACAAAACGTTCTCCCGCTGTGATGCTGACATCAGATAGTGGGCTGTAGCAAGACGTGAACGTTACGAACGAACGGCTAGATGTTCTGCCTGTCTCGACAATTCCCCATGGTCATCCACTCTGCGCAACGCGCGCCGCGTATTTGAATCAACTATAGATCTCTATTGCTGACATACCAAGCACTCGCAAGTCACAAGGAAGTAGGAAGAAGGATTCATGTTGTGGCAAGTACACTGAGGGGGTAAATTGTGCATTGATTGGGTGGTGCTTAGGCATAAGCGTACAGCTTGAAAGCAAGGCTATAACTGCTTTTGTAATTCCGTGGGGAGCTCCTATATACTACTTAACCTATGGAGGCAACCTTGGCTAGACCGGATTGCGACGTTGGCCAGGGCCCAGATGTGTGAATTCAAAAGTCGGGAACCGCGCAAATCTTGCCCAGTATCCTAGCCTTGTCCCATACCTGTCTTATATAAAGCAACAAACGAGTAGACGCAACCATATTAATAGACACTTTACTCTATATACCCTTGCTTAGTATATGCTCACCACAGAATACGACAGAGCCGACGCCAAAGACCAACGGCTGTTGATAAGTCCGAGTATGATGCATACCTATTAGTGTTACCGCAGGCTACCTCATCCTCGCCAACTCCGCCGGTCACATCCTTGCCTGTCAAACCAAAGACTGGCACGCTCCGATACTATTGCCCAGTATTCCTAGCGAGAAGGTTTCAAGTCTCCTTCAGATTGACACTTTTATAGCTCAGATTTGGCAGCCCGAGACCACGAAGGAGACGCCTTTGCCGGATACATCTGCTGCGGAAGTCGATATATGGGATGGGTTCAGACCTCACGAGTTGTCAAGTTAAGAAAAAAATGTGTTTGTGATATGTTTCTCACCTGACGCTCTTCTCATCTTAAATTGATAACTTTCCAACCTAGGGCTCCAAGACTATCCCCATTAAATCGGCCGGTCTTCAAGGTCACTTGACCCTCAAGTTCCGAGCCCTGCTCGCCTGAGAGAACAGTCTCGGGCACTGCTAGGGATATCACGACGTTGCAGGTCGACACATGCATCAGCCAACAGACCACGAACGCTTCGTAACTCTTGGAAAACCCAAACCAGTCGACTGCACTCCACAACAGTGCTCCTGCCTGATCCAGGCAACTCGTACCAGCAGCACTGGCACCAGATGTTGAAGCCCAGTCGCAGCGTGGTTCCTAAGGTACTTCATGCCTTTCGTGACCGGCGTAAAAAAACATTCATTGGCCAAAGCGCCCCGCTGCCACACTGTCATCCTTAGGTGAACAAAAATCTTCAGAGGCATCATCGCAACTGGGTAGATTCCTACCGGCACTTGGAGAGCCCATCACGAAGCTGGGACCAGACTCTCACAAAACATACCCCGTCGTCTCTCGTAAGTATATAAATCAGAACCGACAACTCTCCAAATCCGTCCATTTGAAAGGAACACAGAGTGGCAACTGGGTTTTGCTATGTGGGCATCTTGCGATGCTATACATAACAGCGATATAAACCCAGTTCCTGTGGACTTAGTCTATTTCACATCAGCAAGATGCCTTGCTACCAAAAACCGACTCACTACTCACTACTCACTACATATACCCTCCTCTTTCCATATAAACGTAACGATATACCCCGTAGAACCAGACGGCCGATTAGCTCCCATGACCGCAGGTATCTCACAACTAAGTATTACAAGGCCTTTCGCAACAACATTTCGGCCATGAATGAGGAAGAGCTACTCTCCTCTTGCCGTAGAGCCTTCAAAACATGAAGCACCATCATCTCCTTCTATACCCGGGCACCTTACGAAGGCCGGCCGGCCCAGCTCCAGGCGATTGTACCCGGTCGAAGCCTGGCAATCTCCCAGCCACCTTCAGCCTCGTAGACAGCCTGATCAGTATCTGCGTGACACAAAACACTCACCGAAATCCCCGAAACCCAAGAAATTATCTCAGCCGCAATATAGCAAGTGGAAAAAACAACACCTCCTCGCACTTGTTTTTCTCGTCCCACTTCCTCTCCCAAGAATGCATTCGCCGGCGAAGGTCGTAATCACTCGACTACACGCGTCATGTAGGTCTAAACCACCCTAGTCCAGACCACCGTGATCCAGCCTCACAGAATCGCACTTGCACTTTCTTCCACCCTTCACCTCATCTCATCAAACAACGTCACCGAATCGAGAGTCAGCCAGATAGACGTGTCAAGAATGCATTCCATTCGACAGAGAATCTAACTATAGCTGCCCCTCCCTGATCCCAGGACATTCCCTTCATGGTCATCTTCTTTCCCTCGACAGGCACATGCCTACCATCATGGTATAATAGCTCCTCCTCTTTCCAACGTTCCTCCCCTCCCTCGACTCGTGCACAAAATGAGTGTGGTATATCCCCTGCGCTTTCAGACTCCTTGTAGCGAATGACCAAAAAACAATGATTTGACAAGGATGAAAAAATATGTCTTAAGTTCGTTAGAGATCTGGAAAAAATAGCCAGTAAAATGTGTAAAATATATGTCGCCATCCCAATGCATGTATGTGTGTATCGTCAGACTCCAGCGTACAACAACTTCTGTGAGAAACCCAGGACGTTCCAAATGTCCCCGTTGCGAAGACGGGGCCGGCTGCCTGGAGCTGAAACGGGGCTCAGCCTGGCCATGTGGAAGGGGCGAGACGGTAAGGCTTCGTTGTTCGTGAACGCCTCATCACAAGGCACCTGACAAAACTCGAGAAGCTTCCTTCATCCCCACCCGATCGCCACTTTGGCCAGACCCCGTCATCCCAGGCAACCACCACCGCCCAGCACGTCTCGCTCCATAAATGCCAATCAATAGCCGTCTCAAGCGGCCTCAGTCCCTCAAATGCCCCCAGCGCCATTTCGGGCTCATCATCGCAGCCCTCCCAGATTGATATCAAATAAAACAGATCGGTACTCGTTACTGTATGGTTTTCGTCTTTCATATCTTCCCCTTCATACCAGCACGAACCAAAAGAAACAAAAAACTGGAAATGAAAACATGAAAGCTAACAAAAATAGAAAACGAAAATCAGCCGCGCGTATCAGGACGTGAGGAGGATGAACATCGACGCGTTCCAGCAGAGCGAAGTATCTCTCATCGCAAAGACGGCGGCATGACCTTTATGAGATCGAGACGTTGTTGAGCTGCGCCATACTTTCGCCGCTAAGCGTAGGAGGCTGCGTACTCATCGCGGTAACGATGCGGGATGTTAGAGTACTGAACGTCATCATATCTCGCCGTCTTCACCTTGGAAAAATACGGGTTGGAACTCTGATAGCTTGCCTCCCGAGACGGCATGGGAGGGCGGACACTGTAGTAGTCGGTGTGCTTGGACTTCCTCGGAGGAGAGTCGTCGCGATAGGCGGAGGCGTAGGCAGCCTCAGCAGCGACTGGGACTGCTCTTCCAGCGTTGACGGTGTATCGAGTTCGTTGGCCAGTCTCGTATGGCATCGCCTCGGGAGAGTGCGTTCTGTGTCGATGACTCCTCTGTTGATGACGTTGGTCTTCCTCCGAATCATCAGAGTCCTCGCTCAAAATCTGCTGTGGCTGCAGCCTTGAACGGCCACGGCCCCGAACGTCGGCAGACTCAGCAGGCACGTGAGAAAATGTTTGAGCTCTGACGGGACCAGGAGGAGGACGGTTATACCCATCGTTAAAGGTAGCCGCTCTGCCCAAGTGCTTAGGCGGCGAGGTGGACGCAGGCGAAGATGTCGCGGAAGCGAACTGAGCCATGTGGCGAGTGCTTGGAGAGGCATCGACAACATTGGGTGATGGCGGGACCGGTGCCTCCTTCGTAGGAGATGATTTCTTATGACTCGACTTGTCCCGTGTCTTGGTCTCAGAGGAGCGTCTCGACTTTGATCTGCGACTGGTATCCTCCTCGACAGTAGGAATGGGAGGAGGAGCGAAAGGAATCGCAGCGGGCGGCGTCGGAACCGCGGCAGGCACATGGCGAGGCTCGTACGAGGTCTGGGCACGGCTCAGACCCGGGTGGACTGCCTTGCGTGACTGATCCATGTATGACGCTGCGTACAGCATGGTGTCGGCGTATTTGGAAACTTTGGCATCAGCCTGAATAGTAGGCACCGGCGGCACCGGCGGCTCTTCACGGAGAGGGGCGCCTCCAGGCGGGATCGAGCGAGACCGCTTGTCCTTCTCCTTCTCCTTGGTGCTACTTGATTTCTTCTTCTCAGACTTGGCGAAATAGTTGGACTCATCGTCTTCGATGTAGGCAGGCTTGTGTCTACGCGATTTCTCTTCGGCCTCGCGTTTACGGTCCTTTTCTCTCTCCTTCTCGGCCTTCTCTTGACGCTTGCGTTCTTGACGACGCTCTTCCTTGTCAGCCGCGGCCTTTTCGGCGGCCCTCTTGAGCTGCTTTTCGTAAGCCTTCCGGTCTTGGCGTTCTCGCTCCTTTTCGCGTTCTCTTTCGCGCTCCCTCTCGCGCTCCCTTTCTTTGCGGTCTGCGGCACGGGCGAGGTCCTCGCGTTCTCTGTCCCTCTCTTCCTTACGTCTGCGTTCACGTTCCCGCTCTCGATCTCTTTCGTCATCTTGGCGGGACGGTTTCTCGTAACTTTTCTCGTAACTCGCAGCCCGGCGGGCTCTGGGCTCTTCGAAAATGGAATTTGATCTGCTGTGAATTTCTTCGTCCCAAGATCGAGAATTGTACCCGGTAGAGTACATGGGCTTGCCGCCGGGGGAGGCACGGTATGTCGTCTTGTAGGTATCCGGTCGGGGCTCGGCGGTGCGGACCTCGTAGGATCTGGCGGCAGGCGCTCTGGGAGCCGAGGTGTTGGCGGACATACCCTTGGCCATCTCCTTGCGAAGCTCGGCCAATTTGACATTGTCATCGTATTTGCCTCGCTCGTTTTCGTCGCTCAGGATCTCGTAGGCCTGTTGGACCTTTTGGAACTCATCTTGCTTTTGGGCCTTGAGCGTCGGGTCCTGGACCTTGTCGGGGTGGCATTTGAGGACGAGCTTTCGGTGGGCACTTCGAATTTCTGCGAGTTGTGCATCTTTGGAAACGCCCAAGATCTTGTACGGATCGGGTGGCAAAGCGGACATGATGGAGATATCTGATGGCGGTGTGACGTTGGTTTGGGGGCTCGTGAATCCAGTTCGACGGTGGTCAGAGAGCGACTGATGATCAAATCAAGGCTGTGGTGATGGTCAAAAGACTGCAAGGCGTTGCTTGCGGTCTGGTTCCTGTCGGTCTCTGTGCGGACGACGAGGCTATTGTTGCATTGAGGCGGTGGTGATTATGTACTCGAGGCTGTGTGGATTACCCGTTGCAATTGCAGCAGGCTGTTGGGAGTTGTTGTCAAGTTTTCGGGACCGCGGTACCCGGCGCGAAGCTTGAATCCAGAGCGGAAAGGGGGTTCCTCAAACGGAATGTTGAGGGAGCAGAAAGGTCAAGGAAGTACCGTAGTAAGTAGAAGTAGTAGTAAGGTAGTATGTAGGCTGAAGTGAAGTCGCGACAAGTGATGTACTGTGAGGGAAGAGGCAAAAAGGAGGATCAGGTAAGGCGGAACGGAAGGTTGGGTATCGCTAAGTTGAGGTGATGATGTTATGGTTCAGAGTTGTGAATCGAGTAAGAGAGAGTGTGAGAGGCAAATAGAGGAGAGCAGAGGTAAGAGATGCAGATGCGGATATGGATGGCAAAAGAGGGCGAGAGAGAAGCAGCCGGATGCGTAGGGCGAGGGCGAGGGCCAGAGTCGGACGGGTGGTCGATCGTGGGTCGTGGCTCCTATCTCTGGGCTTTCCCCTCGAGGTGCAGCAGCGCAACCAGTGTCCAGTACGCAAGTGGAGTTGTTTTCGTGGGTTGATGTTCGCAAGTTGCGTTGGACGGGCAGCTCAAGCGAAAGACGAGATGGAGAAGGGGGGGGAAGGCGTGCCAAATAGGTAACGGGAGGATCTCCAGAGGCCCAGGAGGAAACGGAGGCGGATATGGGGACCAGACTCGAGTGACTTTTGACAGCGGTAGACTTCCCAGGCACTGGGATGCTTGCTAGGAGCCGAGACGAGCGATGACTGGAAGAGCGGAGAGACTTTTGGACGCTGAATGACTGAGGATTAGAAAGGCAAAGAGGGAAAAAAGTGACTTTGGGCGCACCATGCGACTTGCGAAGAGAGGGTCCTCAGATGCGTGGGTGGATGGCAACGATGGATGATGGATGGCAGATGGATGGTTGGATTGTGGGTTGTGGATTGACACGGGTGGACGATTGATGAATGGACAGCCGATGGTCCATAGCAAAGATAGGTACGGAGTAAGGTACTTGGGTACATAGGTACGTAAGGTACCTACCTAAGGTACATCAGGGCGTTTCCGTCCTGTCAGTCGAGAGCGAGCCGGTGCGAGCGTGGGACGTGGAAGGCGCGGTGGGTTAAAGTGGGTACAGGTCCGTGGACGGTGGGTCGCAGAGCCTGGGGTCGACGTTACGTCCCTCGGTACAAGACGCATGTACCTTCCTCATGTTATTCTCGCTGGAAGATACGGATTGAGGGTCAGATGATACGTACAGGTTTAAGTGCTTTACCTCACCTTACAGATATCCGTGATTCAGTACGGGCAGCTTGAGGTGATCCGGAAGAGGATGAGTACCTAGGTACCTACTCACATACTGTGAGTGAGTCTGTGACGAAATCGGGTGCCCAAACGGTCCAACACCCAAGACAAATGCCCCCATTGCTTGTCATTTTTTTGGTTCTGATTCTGAGGTGGCCAGACCGGGCGAGAGCTGCGAAGATGGAGTCTGGTGTGCTCTGTGTTTCCCGTCCGGCTCGTGTACCTTGACTGCGGTATTCTCGGCGAGTCGGGACCTGGAAAAGGCCATCCAGTGGTACGTATTCGTACTATTCTACTGTAGTAGAGACGAGGATGGCGGACTGAGGACGTGACTTGACAGCACGAGGGGCTGGCCAAGTATTGGAGACCGAGTATTCGCAGGTGCACTTGACTGACGATGAGGTCACGGGCTTTTGGGCGAAAAGGAGGGGGAGAGGCCACCATGACTGGTCAAGACGGCGGTCGATGGCTGGGTCTGGGCCATTGCTGGTTGGACGAAAAGGCCAGCATCTGTAGCGGAACGTCCACCAGTCAAAACGGCTGACAGCCACTAGCGCAAACCGAAGTGCGGATCAGCCTCAGTTTTGTGGCACTCCGTTTCAATCCAGCGAAACGGAGTCTCAGGGAACCTCCCTCTCTGTCATTCTGGCTTTCTTGCTGCTGTTCAGATGCTGCGTGAGAATCTGAACCGACGGTACATGCCTCCCAACCACCACACCCAAATTCCCTTCTGGCTCTGCCGTCACCATCTGATTTGACCAGTCATCTCCCAGTCAGATGGAGGCTTGACTGTGTTAAGGCTATCATTCAACCAGTGTGCCAGTCTTCCCTCTTCAAGAGGTGTGGTTAATCAGTTATAAGCAGACTGCCAGGGCTGTTGCACACAGACGGTAGCCTATCAACAGCTGCAACTACAATTCCACACAAGACGGCAACTGATACGCTTCTCGCATGCGGTACAGCACAAACGGGGGCGAACGGATGGTGCTTGTAGCCAGGTGAGACGGTTCTGGCCTTGGCTGATGATGCTGTCCCTGACTGGAAAGGGATCCCACGTCTTATTCTCCCCCCAGAAGAGGAGGGGGGACTGGGCTTCTGGAGGGGCTGGAGTGGGTGTGATGTGCGGCGTGCCCAGCGGGTAAGGCTTGTTGTGGATGGATGACCACGGTGACTCTACTGCTTGCTCGTCCATCGGTGCCACCACTCTGTCTCTGGTACTCGCTCCGTACCGCATTTGTCGTCGTCGAACCTCAGACATCGTCTGGTCTTTTGATTTTTCGCCTTTCCACGGACCGCAGCTTGAGTCTGTTCTGTTCAACCGCCTATTCTTAACCCCAGACGGACAAGCGCACAGAGACCTAAAGTCCGAGGTCTGCCAGTCGGGGCACCGTCGTACCCGGCTTGTCATCGGTCTCGTCCTTCTTTGCGTAACCCGCCGCTGAAGTCCGTCCCGCTCCCTGTCTGGAGACTGGTACCGACCGGTGTCCTGTCTGTGTCCTTCTCTCTGCTTCCACGACGGCGGACAGGCCCTGTTTCCCTCTCTGTCCGACCCGCGTCGTCCGTCGCCCAAACGGGCAGAGTACAGCAGCTTGCGGTGGCTTGCTGCAGCTGTGGTAGGCGGCCGCGGGGGCGGATTGGATAGTAAATGACTGAACCCCCCGGCGGAGCTGAGCCATGATACGCAACGCCTGACGTATGCGGAACCCCTGAGACCTGCCCGTATCGGTGGCTTATGGGCCGTCTCGGTTTCTCTCGTGCCTTTTACTGAATAGAGGTCTCGCGTTGTCGGGGAGACTTGTTTAGCTGGCAGGCATGGTGGCATGGTACTGTATGGGCATGGAGCCGCAAGAGGTCGGCCACGAACCGAACCCTTCAGGTGATGAGCGACAGGGACGGCACATGGGCTCCCGCCTTAAAGTCGATCGCTCATGGCGGCCCTGGATACGGTGAAGGAGAGTACCGATGGTGGGGTGGTTGGGGAAGGAAAATCGAACCCAAACGATGGAAGCAACAATGCACTTCGCCTTGCTCTTTGCGGTGTAGGAGATACAGCTTCAGCCCGCCAAGTGCTGTACTGCGTCAGGATATCTTCCGAGATCCAAGGGAGCCATCGCGCAACTTTGACGAAGATGCCGACGACAACTTCCATGCTGCGCCTCGGCTGGAGGAACCAGAGTATGGGGCAAATATGACGATGGATGAGTCAACCTGAATCATTCTAGCCTTCAGCGCCTCTCGGAGGAGACGGGGAGTTTCTTGTTGACGGAAGGGTAAAACGAAATCTCTGTTTCCTCGAGGGGCAAAAATACAGGAGCGCGGGTTTCGCGTACTTCGTCTTTTGTTCGCTGGATCCATGAGAGCCGAGTGTAATGCTGTGGTTGTAACCGCGAGAAGCTGGGAATGCAGTTGGATGGGAATTGATGAATTAGGGATGGCATGGTACCGTAAACGCTTGTTCGCCTTGTCGATTGGGCAGCGGCAACACCAGCACCCAGGAGCACCTGCCTGGTACCAGCATCAGGCCAGGGAGGAAGCATCAAGGCACCGCAATTGCACTGCAAAGTGCAAGCAACAGTGGAGGAAGGAAGGCGAGAAGGATGTGGCAGTGGACAATTGGAAGTAGGCGGTGGCACGTACGTAAAGTCGTGGGTACTTTGCCTCGTGAGGGGTTGAGGGGCGATGTCCACGTACTATGGACAAGAGTACTTCGGACTTTGGTCAACCAAGTACCTTACCTCGCTCCGCCGTTTGTCGCGCACCGTTCGTCTGCTCCTCCCTTTAGTGGTTGAGTGGCAACAGCGCGGCCTGTGAACACAAAGTGGCACCTGGCACCCGTTCAGCCTCCAACGCTGCAGCTGGCCGCCCTTTGAAACGTTCGTCCGTTTTCAAGCAGGAACCTTGGGCGTGCTTGGTTGGAGAGGACGCCAAAACGTCCCGTTTCCCGAGGATAGCGCACCATGAATGACAAACTCAATCAACAACTTAGGGGATGCCCGTTGGTGCTTAACAAAACGGCTCTTTAGGTACACGCTAAGCAATCATCTGTCCGAGTCTAAAGAGACCTTGCTGATAGTGTAATCCATCGTTCTGCGAACTGGAGGCTGTGTTTCCTCTGGTCTGCTCGGCGAACGCGAACCTGAACCTCCAAACCGGAGGCTTTCGGAAAGACAGTTGTGTTGCATCAAATCATTGTCTGACCATCCGGGGGGTTTTCTGAATCTTCTATTTTCTTCCGGGTCATGCTACAGTACGGATACATCAATTGGAAGCTGATAGAGCCACCCGAGCCATATTTGGCAACATGGAAAACACGATTTCAAACGCATCTGTCAGACGTTGCTGAGGTAATGCCCAGGCCCAGTTGCCCAGCAGGGCCTTGGAAGCGAGCTCTTCTACCTACTTTTGCTTGACTCCATCAGCACCGCCCATTCGGCTTGATGACACGCACTGCGGGCGATTGTCCGGGGCCATCTGGCGGTGAACAAACACCTCGTTT